ATAGTATAATCTGCAACTTGATTGTCTAGAATAATGATTATCAATAAATTATGCAAGGAATAGCTGGGCACAACCACTTAGTTAATGGAGCAAACCTAGTTATAGACTGGAGAGTTTGAGTTTTCAACAGTGAGATACACGAAAGCTATTAACACAGTTGTAATATAATAAAGCTATTTCAGGAAGATGGAACCAAGTACACTGAAATATACTTAACTGGGGAAGAAATAGGGTATGGTAAAACATGAGATCTTCACAAATTGAGACATGAGGTGATGAAAGCCTAGATTAGGGTGATGACTGCAGAAACAGAAGGATTCAATTTCAAGTCATTTTGCAAGAACATAGTATGGTTTGCTGGCCAACTAAATACAAAAATAAAAGAGTGAAAAAAGATGAAATAAAAAGGAATACCACAGCCTCCCAGCACAGAGTAGGTCTAAAAGCATACTTGTAAAGGTCAAAGGTGATTCCGAAGTCCTAAGTCTAAAAGATAAAAATACTAAAATATAGCAAAACAAAACTCCAATACTGTTTTTATGTGGTTCTTTTTATTACATTTCCAGCTGACTTAACACATTTTTGGCTCAATTCATTTGAAATCTTACACATATTTTTAACTATTTGGTAGATGTTGCTTGAACTGCATATAATCACATATAGACGCTACATGAAAATTAATCTTTTTCTAACAACTGTTCTTATGCCATTACCTTACTTTCAAAACTACTCCTTCCCCCATACCCATCTCTATTTAATGGTCATTAAACAACTTAGAAAATGAGGACAACTAACATGACTATGCTTGTGTTTTATTATTTTTTTTAGGCATGTGCCACCACTGCCCGTTTTTTTTTTTTAGATTTATTTATTAATTTATGTATACAGTATTCTGTTTGCAGGTATGCTGCAGGTCAGAAGAGGGCACCAGATCTCATTACAGATGGTTGTGAGCCACCATGTGGTTACTGGGAATTGGACTCAGGACCTCTAGAAGAACAGTCAGTGCTCTTAACCTCTGAGCCATCTCTCTAGTTCCCTATGCTTGTGTTTTAGAAAGCTACCCTGATCATCGTTAATGGTACACTACTGAATCCTACCTCTATGAAGGAGGCAGAGGCAGGAGAATTGGTGATTTGAAAATTTGAGGCCTGTGCTATACAGTGAGGCCTTAAACAGAGAGAGGGAGAAAGAAAGGGAGTAGGAAAAAACAGATAATTCTAGAAACATCCTGGAGACCTTGTTGAATAAGTCAATTAACAACTGTATAATACAGACAGAGGAGAAAGGAGGATAGAAAGATGCATGTCTTTTGAGAGACATGTAGGAAGCACCGGCAGAATTTCAAATCATCTGAAGAGGGATGCAGGAGATGAAATCAATACTGACACCAAGGATCCCAGCTTAGAAGATTTGGCACATGATGAAGCCAAGTTAAAATAAAGAGAGAGAGAGAGAGAGAGAGAGAGAGAGAGAGAGAGAGAGAGAGAATTAGTTTCTGTGAGAAAAGACATTGAGTTCTGTTGGGCTACAACCCACATAAATAAGAAAGCCAAAATAAATAAAAATAAATCATACTAAATGGTCTCTGATTCCTTTAGAGTCTTCCATTCTAAACAGTAAATATTATCCAAGGATTTCATCATATTTTAAAATTAAATTATATTACTCATTGGCTTCAGTACCACAGTGGAAAGTTAACTAACACTCTCTGTCCAGCTTCTCTATCTAAAAGAGTCTTCTTTTCAGAATTTAAACTGAACATTTACCCTAGATAATTTACATTAAGAATAAACTTTTTATGTGAAAATCCACAAAGTATGCCTCAATTTAAATATGAGTGTGATTCAAGCTTATTTCAAAGATCTCAACAAAAAGAAAAGTTGAGACCATCCCCTTTTCATAAAAATGATACCTAACATGTAAAGCCATTTCTAGTTTAAACTACAGCTTAAAGTTTTAAAAAATCTAGCCTGGTTACCGTGGCACACACCTTTAATCCCAGCATTCAGAAGGCAGAGGCAAGCAGATCTCTGTTGAGTTCAAGGCCAGTCTGGTCTGTGACAGTCAAGGCTGTTACACAAAGAAATACTGTCTTGAAAAACAAAACAAAAAAAGCTTTAAAAATGGGTAACGACCTAATAAAGCGTTCTCTTGACTTCACTGATCCTGTGAACTACTTCCCATTTCTCTCATTGAAAAGGTGTTTGCACAGATGCTCCTTCAAATTTGTTCTCGCTACTTCAAAACAGTGATATAAATGCCCATTCTTCAGTTCTTGATCTACCAGTGTCACTTGACAGAGATGTTCACTCATCCTCCTGAGACTACTTGGTTCACATGGTTTCCAGCAAACCATGTTTTCTTCCTTTCCAGTCTCATTTTCTGTCTTCTCTTCTTTTCCTAACTCTTTAAGTGCCTCACGAACTAGATCTTAGTTACTCCCATAATTACACACACTACTTTAAGTAGTCTCTACCTGACAAGAAATCAAATTGATTTTACTTTAAAAATATGTACTGAAGGGCTAAAGAGAAGACAACTCAGCCAGTAAAGCCCTTATTGTGCAAGCATTAGGATCTGAATTCAGATCCTCTGCGCCCACATAAAAAAACGGGTTCAGTAAAGGATCTGAGTTTAAGTCCCTAGCACCCATGTAAAATTCCGGCATGGTGGTGTGCACCTGTAAACCCAATGCTCAGGTAGTGGATCTCTGGGGCTGGCTGGCTAGCCAGCATAGCTGAACAGCAAGTTCCAGGTTCAGTAAGACCATGCATGCTTCAGATTTAAAAAGGTATAGAGTGACTAAAGAAGACATTTGATGTCAATCTGTGTCTCCACATTTATACAAGTGCAACACAGATGGACAGACAGACACACACCGATGACTCCCTATATTATTGTTCATTCTAACCAGAGCTGACAGTAACTACTTCAACACCCTCTAATCAGCTCTTTGGTTACAATCTACTTTGAGAACAGCAGTGTGTCTCAGTGATGATTTGAATATGATGACCCAGGCACTCATCTATTTTATGTGTATGGGTGTTCTGCCTGCACAAAAGTCTGTACATCACATATGTGCCTGGTGTCCATGGAAGCCAGAGAGGGTGTCAGATTCCCTGGAACTGGAGTTACAGTCCAGCTGTCATGTAGGTGCTAGGAATTGAACTTCGTCCTCTGAGAGAGCAGCCAATGGTCTTACTCACTGAACTATCTCAATAGTCCCATGCTTAACTCTTAATGAGAATGACTACTGAAAATCTGAGTAGCAGCTAAAGTATCTACAATAGATGCAAAGCCCCTAAATCTGCTCCTTACTACTCCCATTTACCTTTCTGACTGCATCTCTTACTAGTCTTTTTTTTTTTGCTCCCTCTTGTTCCCTTCATTCTTTCTTCTCTCTAATCATGGTGGCCTCTTTGCTAATCCTTTGACATACCAAGAACTCAGGGACTCTGCATTTGCTCTTCTCTATCTCCTGATAATCCTCTTTTCTCCATATATATAGACTCATGCTTTCAAATATTTGGGCAATCTACAGTGAGGTTTTCTTTGACCATTTGTCTTTCACCCTATCCTTCCATCCTTCATGCAAAGAAGCAGAAAGATATGAGTAAAACAGAGGAGAACAGTAGCCAATCAAAGCTGATCCATAGCTAAACAGACATACTGGATATTAGCAGACATGGACAGTAAAAATTATTGCAATTGTATCTCAGATGTTCAAAAGCCAAGTAAAGACATGAGCCCCCTGATACACATGCAAAGGGTTCTAATCAGGTTGTAATTTATTCATTGTCTGAGGTGAAAAATACATTTAACTAAGAAAAATATATTAGATATTGCAGAATAAAAGACTAGTGAGCTTGAAGACGTAGAAAAGTAACTACTTAAAATGAAACATAGGAAAAGGAAATTCTTTAAAAAGACAAGACTCTTAAGGAGAGGAGAAAGAGGTAGGACAGAAATAAGTTAAGAAAACAATGGCTGAAGAATTTCTAAATTCAATGGAAACACTGTATTTACAAGTCCAAACAACTTGTGAACACTAATCCAAAGAATCTTGAAGAAAACCACACAAAATAATCAAGTTATTAAAATTGGTGAAAATTGCCTCCAGTTCAATCCTCCATGCCAGAAAAGGATAAAGACTATTTTAGATATACAAAAATGGAAGGGTTTCATCACCTGCACTACACAAAGTACTAATAAAATCCTTCAGGCCAAAGGAAAATGACTCTATATGAAACTAAGTACCCACTCAAAGAAATAAAGGTGTAAACAGTCACGTATACAGAGGAATGTAGAAGTGGTGTCTTCTTATAAGTAAGGTTTTTAAAAAGAGTGAAATATTTGCTATAAAGAACATATCACTAAAAACAATGTCATATTGTGTTTTATAAAATATACCCAAGCACAATACGACAAAACCATAATGTTCAGGCAGGGCAAAGCAGGAGTCTATTATTTTAAAATTCTTACACTAGATATCAGGGACAAATGTTACTTTAGGGTAGACTTGTACATGAATGTCCATAGCAACCTATGTATCATAGCCCAAACTGAAAGCAGCCAAATACCTGGAAGAAACCCACTGAAGCTAAGGTCTTACAGCTACAGTGAGTACCTGACTTAAGCATAAGAGCCACAAGATCACACGCAGGCCACCAATGAAACCCCTCAAAGCTAAGCCATAGCAGGACTCAATAAACAGAATGGTAAAAAGTAAAAAGAAGTAAAATTTCTCTTATCAGATAATGTTTCTCCTTTTCTTTTACTATCTACTCTTTAATGCAAATAAGAAAATTAAGAAGTACTTTTAAAATCACGTATGTAAGAAAATATGTTATATTCCATATTTTAACTTACCTAGAATTTAATAGTTAAGACTTAAAATATTATTAATTCTTAAATAACCAGAAAAATTAATATGAAGTAGCCCATTCATGCAGGCTAGTGACTTCTTTAAGTTACAAAAAAAGTAAAGAAAAACTTACCAAAAATTTCTCCATTTTTGGCATACTCTGTCACAAGGTACAACATACTTTTGGTCTCCATTACCTATTGATAAATGGTCCTATATTAGTCAGACAGAAAGGATTACTTTACCACATTCTATAGAGTTACATAAATTAAAATTTTTGGTGAAAGAGTAAGTTATGAATTATTCAGAAGTCAGAAACATTTACAAGCCTCATATCCTCAACCCATCATTCCTGTGACTATTAGATTCTTGTTCTAAATTTGGATCCATGGCCCAGCTAGAAATGCAGAATTTCAAGTCTGATTCCAGTACTACAGAATTAGAATTGATATTTTTAACAAAAGTGATTCCTATGCATTCCTATTCAAGTTAAAGAAGATGAACACAGGCTAAAGAAGTTCTGAAGATCTTTCCATCAACTCTTCACTTGAGGCTGTGAGTGCTATGTTATCAAGGCTGTTTAACTGAGCTAGCACAATGTGGTATCTATATTCTTTCCTACTGTGCTTTGGTTAATATTGTTATAAGGTACTTGTAATTTTAAATTATTGCTTGCAAGCTGCTTCTTCATAGCTCTACTGCTGTATATTTTCATTTAAATTAGCTTTTCTAGGTTCAGAAAGAGTGTATCATTGTTACCAATTTGATTTTTCTACTATATGAACAAACACTACTCAGACTCAAGATAAGCAATTTTTAAACTATTTTTCTGTATACTTTGTGTGTGTATGTGTGTGTAAAGGCCTATGTGCATGTATGTGTGGGTGCATTGTATGTTTATGTGTGTTATGTGAACATGTGTATAAGTATGTGGAAGATAAAGGTCAGGTCAGCTTCAGGTTTTCCTCAGCTATGCTGACCGGCCCTGCAAGCCCCAGGGATTTATGTTTACATCTCCCTTCACTCGGATCTTGAGAGTGTACGACCACTATTCTTGTCATTTTTACATGAGTTTTGGAGATCAAATTAAGTCCCTAGAGTTTTATGTAGGTTCTGGGGACCAAAGTGAGGCCATCTAGCATGCATGCCAAATACCTTATCAAAGTCGTTTAACACTCTTTTAATAGTTGTCTACTGAAAGGCTACAAACTAATTTTCACTAACATACAGGCTTAGGACTGTGCTTCATCAGACAAGTAAATAAGTACGGTAGTAAAGAAATAAGAGCTGTTGACAATTTGGAATTTAAAAAGATTAAGCAGTAGCTTGATTTTACAAATACATGATACATACTATTTGTACCATGTGACTTATGGGAATCAGTTTAGGACATGGCTCATCAGTTCTTCTAAAATGATTATAGACCCTTCTTCTTCAGAAATGTCAAACAAATGCCTATGGGGAAAATCTGATGCAAATTTGACTTAAATCTGTACAGTTTTAGAATTTTAGGAAATATTTTGAGTGGCACAATATACATACTATTGCATGTATGGGAGGCTGATCATAAGCTGATGGTTTCCAACTTTTTAAGTTGAAATTTTCAATCAATAAGATTGTTTATAAATATGTATGCACACATGTACATATATGTATAAATATATAGAATATCTATCTATCTATCCATCTATCTATCTGTCTGTCTGTCTGTCTATCTGTACCCCAGTATAAAATGCACTCAAGGACATAATAAATAAAACTAGAAGCTTTAATATTGTCTTACAATCCCAAGGATATTTAGGTAGCCCACCTAAGTATAGCAGTGTGAAAGCAAACTGAACCTCTGAGAAAAGGGCTCTGAGTTTTAATTCTGTTCCTATGATATAAGTATGTGTGAGTCTGAGCTACTAATGTGAAGCTTATCTGCTCACAAAATTTCTGAAAACTTATCAGTTGATCTTAAAAACTTGGACAGATTAAGTCCAGCATACCATGGGTACAACTATCACAGGGCTCAAAGTCACAGGTCAGTAGACTGGGGCCTTTCAGTTTAAAATCCATTTTCAATTTAAAGGTACGGTACATTAATTAACAGAAACTTTAAAAAATATTTTATTGATTATTAAACATGAATTACTACTCTTAAAAAATCTAAGAAAACATTCTTTTTAAAACAGATGGCTTAAATTTATATGCAATTTACTTTAAAAAATTTCTTAATAAAACTGATTTTTAAAAATGGCTTATTTTTATGACTCATAAAAAGAACAAAAGACATGAATTTACATATTACAAAGTTTGTCTCTAAGATATATATTTTGTTAGCCTTTGTATTTTATAACACATAAACAACAGCTTTCTAAATAAAAGTAACATTTTTATTTGTGGTACCAATACCTTTGCAAATCTAGCAAGTTCAGGTGCAACTGCCAATTTTTAAAATGTAGGTAATCTAAAGACAACTTAAGGTTAAATACTAAGTAGCTTCCTAGTTCCATTTTTTTTTTACAAATTTAAATATATAGAAAGACTTAACATTTAGCTTAAGAAAACATTTCTTTTACAGACTAGAAAAGCTAGCATAAAAGCAAAAATCACAATGAAAACAAACAGTTGAATGTGGAAAATCACAAAGAGAAATAAGGCTAAGTCATACCTGATAAAGTTTGATTATGTGAGGATGGTCGAGCATTTTCATTATTTGTACTTCTCGGTAGATTTTCTCAAGGTTTACTGCGTCCAGCTGAGATTTATCTATTATTTTTATAGCCACCTGTAGTCCAAAATACACATAAATACAATTAGTATGTAACTGTTAACATTTTCCAGTAAAGACTTAGTAAACGCTATCTGAGATGTCACCTGTAGGTGTCTGTGACACTGACAGCTAGCTTAATTCAATCATCATTTGTTTATTTATGCAACACACATTTCTTAAGCTTCTACTATTTACAATGCACAATAAATTTTTGTCTGGCAGAGTTTTTAGTGTGCTATGTAAAACAACTTTTCAAAGTTACTTTAAACTGAAAAAGTCTTAGCACTTTTCAACCAATGGCCTCACTGTAAATTACCGATGGACTAAGTATCTGCCAAGTGGGAAGCAGCTAAGATGCAGTTTCTAGGAAAGTGACAGGACCCAAGGAATATACAGGTAGACTTTTCTTTGCTCTCTGAAAGCCTCTTAAAATTTTTACTAACTTTTTCCATACAATATATATTGATTATATTCTTTACCCTGTTACAACTCCTACCAGATCCCCTCCCCCCCGAGGTACAGTTTTGATAAAGAAAAACCTGAAATGTAAAATATTAAAACTAATCTATGTGAGGTAACATCTATTGAATTAAAAAATATTAACAAACTATATGGTTCTGTCATAACTAAATAGGAATCCAAAGAAGGTGAATTTGAAGGTAAATGATTAGGTATTCAGAAAGAACAAATGTTTTTTTCCCCCATGTAAATAAAATGGAGTTTTAGAAATTCATAGATTTGGAATGAGGTAATCTGATTTTAAAAAGGTATTTGTTAATTGGAAATTCCCCATATTTAATTCTAGTAAAAATTCTAAAGGAAGTCTAAAGTGCACTTCACATACTAGTCAAGAGAATTCCAAACACTGTGTAGTCTAGGTTGATAGTCTGTGCTCACTATGAGAAGCAGCAAGTGAACCTCCTCCAACACACATATTGAAAGAGAGCCCATTCTTACTAAATATGACAGAACCAGTATTATCACGTATTTCATGTAACTTTCGTAAAAACTGCCATATAAAAGGCAAGGGCATGTTGGAATTTCAACTTTCTTGAGGAAGGTAACAGAGTTTCACAGACATCACGTTTCAATGAAATGTCTTTTACTACAGTTTCCAAATCTTTCTCACCAACAAGAAGCTTCTATTGTGAGATGGGTCAAAACCACATAACAGAATTTAAGAGAAAAGAATCACATTAAAAATAGCATAATTATTTTTATTAAGAAATTTTGTACATATCTTTTTCTTAAGCTTTAATTTTTAAAATGTATACATGTGTACCATGTAAATGCAGGTGCCTGCAGAGATCAGAAGTCACTGGATCTCCTGAAGTGTAGTTGTACACCATTACTCCTTATGTATGACACCTGCAGGATGATTACACTTCTCTTAAAAAGGCAAGTGTCCCCATGATCCTTGTAGCACGGCAGCCTAACCCCTTTAACAGACTCAGCTATAATGATTCAAGCACAACAGAAGTTTATGTCTTGCTCATATAGCAGGCTCAGATGGGTGGAATTATTAGCAGGTGGTGTGGGAAGTTCTTCTGTATATGTGTTGCTTTTATTGGTTAATAAATAAAGAAGCTGCTTTCGGCCAATGGCTTAACAGAATATAGTCAGGCTGGAAAAGATATATAGAGAGAGTAGGCAGAATCAGGGAGAAGCCATGTAGCCTCCAAAGGAGACAGACGCCTCCACTGGAGCCTCCTGAGACTTTGCCAGTAGACCACGACCTCGTGATGATGCACAGATTAATGGAGATGGGTTAGTGTAGGATATAAGAGCTAGCTAGAAATACGCTTAAGCTAGTGGCTAAGCAGTATCACAAATAATATAGTTTCTGTGTGATTATTTCGGGTTGGAGTGGCTGGGAACGAATGAATATCTTCCCCCAACAAGCAGGAATATATGGTTCAAAAAGGCTTCCCCAAGGTTAAGGTGTGGCTTCCAAGTTTGCTCTGCAGGTAGTCGCCATTCTAGTCGGAAAAGAGAAAAGAGCTCTAAAAGGCCCTCCTGGGGGACTTTGGTAGCAGGCCTCACTCATTCATATACCAACCCCTGAATTATGAGAGGTACAGAAACAGTTTAGTTAATGCCCAGACATAAGAGTGGAGCTTTTGATCCACAAGGATCTCTGCTGAGTCTGATGGAGCTCTTTGCCAAGAACTTCTCAGAAATGCAGTAATAATGACAGTGGCTTTGCCAACTGCATAACACTTCTTAATTTTACAAGATACTTAAATGTATTTTATCTCATTTATCTTTCAATTCTGTCAAATAAATTAAAGGAGCAGGACAAATAGGAGCTGATGAAACAGTTTCAAAAGGCATTACATATTAGCATGTATGAGGCCCTCTGTCCAAATTCTAAAACTTTTATTGGCTCTGCCCCCCCACCCCAAAAGAAAAAAGTCACATAATCTGCACATGTTGTAGAGCTCAGCAAATTAAGGTCAGGGAGGGGACAGACAGAAACAACAGCAGGTCTTCCATTCCAAATTCAGTCTCCTCTCTAAGCAAAAAGTTCACTCGTCACACATACAGAACAAATCAGATGGGATCCCTACACTCAAGGAATGATCATGTCTGCAAGACTAAGGTGAATAAAACTGATTTAAAAAAAAAAAACCCAAACTTTGGAATTTCTCAAAGCATACTGAAAGTCTCTAACTTACAAAACACTTTATTTCAAAGGTACTAGTTTCTCTGCATACCATCTACACTTAAGACAAATTTGCATGATCAAGAGAAAGTCAAGAATATCAAAAAGATTCTGTCAATTTTTTTTGTTAACTGAATCATTTAACTCTAAAGATTAGAGTTAACTCTTAATTACACACAGTTTTTTTTAAAACAAACTGGATTTAAGGTAATAAAAGTAATATTCCTTCTGCTAAGGAGCAAAACCAAGGTTTCCTCTCTAATGTAAGAGGACATACATGAGAAATCAGAAAGATTGCTATCACTCTAAACCCTCTATAAAGGGCTGGAGAGATGGGTCAGAGGTTAAGAGCGCTGACTGCTCTTCCAGAGGTCCTGAGTTCAATTTCCAGCAACCACATGGTGGCTCACAGCCACCTGTAATGAGATCTGGGGCCCTCTTCTGGTTAGCAAGCATACAGACAGAACACTGTATACATAATAAATAAATAAATCATTTTAAAAAAATAAATAAAATAAACCCTCTATAAAGCAGCTGAGTAATCAACTGTAGAAATACTCAGGAAACTGAATTTAAAGCAAAAACTACCATTTTCACTTTTATATTAGCAAAGATTGAAAAGCAGATGCCCACATAAACTGAGTTTTGATGTGATAGCCATTTTTGAAGAAATATGGTATAAATATAAATAGATTATAAGTTTCTCAGGAAGCAATTCAACAGTCTTTATAAAGGACTTTAAAAACCATTTCACTATGCCTGAGGACTTTGGTGCTGAAAAAGAACTCAACTGGAATAATCTGAATTAATGATAAGGACTTCTGTGTAAAAAAATTAAATGTATCGCTTAAGAACAAAAATACAAACAGTTGAAAATAATTATGTGAACTGAAGATTTTTAAGACTATAAAAGAAGTGATTCAAAATAACTTCCCACTTTAAAAAAGTTCAACAACTCTAAAACAAAACACAAGGCAATTAAAAGAGAGCCAAAAGACAAAAAAGGCAGTTTACTAGAGAAATGCAAATAGCCATCACATAATGCTACAATCAAAGTAATCAAAGAAATACAAATCAAAAATGCAAAGAAATTGCAACCAATTTTATATATTGGAAAATAAAGGTAAAAAAGAACCCAAAATAGTGGTCCTCCTTAAAGTGTTTTCCTAATGGTAATTAGCGGGCACTGCTTTTGTAGATGGTACTGTGGCACCTCAGGCCCTAACGCAGGCTCTGGATGGACTCTTCCATCTGGAATTCCACTGAGATGGAACTGCTCTGAGGAAACAATCAGGTATGCAAATGTATGCAAAAGAATATTCTCTGGAACACACAGAGTACTGCAATGGAGAAAAATGAACTTTATTTTCAGTGATAGCGAATCAGTTAAATAAAATACAGTCAGTGACATACACAATGCCTCCTAACGCTGCCACAGATGAGAGATTCTCAACCTGTGGGTCACGACCCCTTGGGGGTTGAGGGCTCCTTTCACAGGGGTTGCATATCACGTATCCTGCACATTAGATATTTACATTACAATTCATAGCAGTAGCAAAATTACAGTTATGAAGTAGGAATAAAAATAATTTTATGGCTGGGTCACCACAACATGAGGAGCTCTATTAAAGGAGTCACAGCATTAGGGAGGCTGAGAATCATTACCTTAGACAGTGTGTTTCTTCAAGAGTTGGAGATGTTAATAAAAAGTGAAATAAAAAGCTCAGGTTTTACATACAGTGGACCCTACTTTATTGAAGACATATAATACAAGTGAATTAAGGGGGTCTGATCCATCTCCTGAGTTGTGAGAGAAGTGAGAATCTTTAGTTTCTCCTCCAGGCTTTTCCACAATGACTATAATAAGCAAGCCTAACTTCTGTAACTGAGCAGAACCATATGAACACTGTATACTTTTTTATTTTTATTTTTTTTATATACATTGGTGTTTGAGGGAGTCAGATACACTGGAACTTGAGTTACAGACAGTTGTGAGCTGCCATGTGGGTGCTGCGAACTGAACCCAGGTCCTCTGGACGAGAGGAAGAGCAGTCAGTACTCTTAACTGCTGAGCCATCTCTCCAGCTTGGAGTGTTTACTTTTAAGAACTTAAAGCATAGTAGGATTATCCCTAGTTTAATTTACTCAAGATGCATCTCTTAATCTGTCTAAAGAACTTTAAATTTTTTAAAATGAAAAGTTTCTGGTGAAATTCTACTTTGTCTTCCAATATTTTAACTATCATAACTGGATATGAAGGATAGAAAATATTTTATATGAATATTTAAATGAAAAAACGTTTACAGAAATCTCTTACTCAAAAAATGTAGAAGGAAAGAAAGGTAAAAGGTCTATTAAAAGGAAAAAGAGGTATCATAAGGAATTCCGTAATCCATTTGATGCCACGGAAACTGTAATCAGTGGGCCATAAGTCAAATGTCATCATGTGGTTCAAGGAGGCCAGTTTCATGATTTCCAAATAAATGTTTTCTTAATTGTTTGGTGCCAAGATAGAATTCCTTAGAGGACTTAAAAGCAGAACACGCTAAACTCTGTTAAAGTTAAATATTTCTACAGAACACAGAAATTACACAACTCAGGGCCAGTTCAGTGGGTAAAGGCACTTCCTACATAAGCCCAATGACCTGAGTTCAAGTCCAAGGACCCACGTGAAAGCTGAAGGAGAGAACTGAATCTACAAACTTGTCCTTTGGTTTCCACGTGTGTGCTACAGTGCCATAGCATGCACGTGTCCCTCTTCACATCACACACACATGCACACATTAAGTTAAAATTTTAAAATTTACACAGCTATATATTTGTTTTCCATTCCCCGAAAGAAGAGATAATTTTGACAATTTGCCAAATATTACTTGTCTGAGGGCCAAGAAACTAGAGAATAGTACAATGACAAATCAGAGTCCTATTTGAATATACAAGAGAAGATCATATACAAGCATAAATTCAAATATCAGTGGGTAAGACATTTGGCCGCAGGTCTTCCTATTGCACATAGTATAGGTACTTCTTGAAATCTGGGGTATTTCTGCAGCACAAGAAATACTGAAAAGAGCTGCAGAATGCCAAAGCAAAATTTAAAATGCAACTGAAATTCTACACTTTACGGTGGTGCTCTGAGAACTAAGCCTGAACATCCAAGCCACAGCAGCATGCACAAAGAAAATTTCTCAGCACACAAAAGCAGTCTCGTATAGCCTTTGACAGTCCTTCTGAGTTCGGGTGCTCTCAGCGGTAATTAAGCGGCCTAACCTCTACAGGCCATGAATAAGGTCACTTTCAGAACCTCTCCACAGTTTCTGTACACTTCCCTTCATATGACTCTGAAGGTAAGCAACACAAAAAGTATGGTATTAAGGAAATGTCAAGTTATCTGCATAGAGAGGGATCTGAAAATAGCAATGATTGTTATCTCTGGGTACTGATAGTATAGGTAATTATTTTCACTTTTCTGTACTTTAAATTTTTTCAATAATAAACATGAAAGTAATAAAAATTCTCAAATGTAAAAATTATGCCCTTTCACTTAGTAATTGCTCTTCTGAAAATTACTAGCAATTCTTTCTCCCTAATAACACTTATAGTGCAGACTTACATAAGCAATTGTATTCCCTGTCAATTGCTGAAAACTGGACATGATAAAATATTCAGTAAGAGTCATAAGTAAAATGGGTCATATACAAGGTAGAATACTAAGCTACTAAAATGCTGTTATAAAGTTATATACGATAAGCAAAATGTGTGGGCACAGACAAGGACTGTATGCTGTCACCTATAAAAACCAAAAGGCAATGTGAAATGTTTAGAGCAATGTATTCCCGTTGTGGGGAAACGACATACTTTCAGTGTTATGCTCTCTTTTATTCTTAATATTTGCTGTACTAAACATTCTTTAATAGAAAACAGAGCACTTATGGGCAAGCACAAGTAATTCTCCTAGAATTTTACTTAGACAACCCCCCAAAACAACAAAAACAAAACAAACCCCCCCCAACTAACTATGTAGCTAACAAGAAGGGAAAAGTTCCTCCCTAATAAAATATTTATAAACCACTACTCATGGACATTCATAGAACAGAAAACTAGCAACCACTATTACCCAAAATAGTTTAATAGCCTAAATGGTGTTATTCTTTTCCCATTGTGCTAATTTTACAAAATTAGCCTCTGTAATTCATAAACCAGCTCTGCAAAGAGTTTATGAAGTATTCTGTTAGGAAGCTGGATTCTGCCTCACCCTTGCCTTTCCTTTTATGTGGAAAATTTACACAGAGATCGAGCACATGAATACCGCTTCAGATGACGTAATTATGTTTCTTGGTATTAGGCCATTTGATAGATTCGACCAAAATTAAAATCTCTTTTGTATACTATTTTTTTCCTAAAAGGGAAACAGACTTCTCCCAAGCACTACAAAAATATATCTTATTTTTCATGAGTGATATAAAACAGAAGATGGAGGCGAGCCAATTAAAAATAAAAGTATTCACAGCTTGAATGTTTAAACTAAGCCCTAAGATTTGTCTGGGGGAGTCAAGATTGTCAGAAAATACAGACACTTGCTGCCAACCCTGATTATCAGAGTTTGATCTGTAGCACCCACTTGACTGAAGGAGAGAACCAGTTCCTGCAAGATGTCCTTTAACCAACACATTCATGCTCATGCACACACACACACACACACACAAACACACACACAAATATAATAAAAATGATTCTATTTTTTAAATAGCTCAGCATCACATTTAAAGGAAATAAAAGATCTCCAAGTTCTAAAACACATAAACCTATAATTTTAAAATGCAGTATATAGTTTTCATAAGCAGTAAATATAATCATATTTTGCTAATAGTTTTCTTTAAGGTATATTAACTGTTCTCACTGTAACTATATGTAGTATGTTAAGCAATTAGAATATAAAATAATGTTAGAGTTGAAATTTTCACTACTTTATTTGTATTTTACACGGTGATTCTATTTATCAAAGATACAAATATTCAGTAAATAAAGATCAACTAACTATTCCTAAAAAAAAAACAACTCACTGAAAACAAATGTTACACTTTTAGAAACTGAATCCTTGCTTTTACTAAAGAAGTCTTTATGTAACTTCCTTATAAAACTTCACAGAACCACTTTGCAAACTGACATCCACAGAGACTTTTCCATACAGTAACTGCTAGATCATTTGACCTTTCTGTGCTTTATTACTGGCAATCACAAAATTCACAAAACTCTCATACTCCTCACTGTAAAACAGAAAAGCACGAGGGAGGAAGAATCTCTAGGCTAAACTTTTAGCTTTTCACATATTTTTATACACATGCACTACACTCACATTTTAGGATCTGCAAGCGCGTTCATGATCTGACAGGTGTCTTCAATCACAAATGTAACTGACCTGGCAGTCACCGGCAGTGTTACTCCACAGTGCCCCCTAGCAGGCTTCCTAAGAAATACCAGTTTGAAAGGGACACCACCAGAATTGTGACCCTCCAGGGAAAGTTGCAGTTACCACGAGCTCCACTTAAGCAGCTCGCTTATACCACTTTAACTAAACTCTGACAAATAACAGCTGACCACTAAATATCGCTAATAAGAAAAAATAGTATAAACTATTGGATTTGGTATCTAAATACACAACAATATAACCAAAACCTTCCCAGACTCTCCGTAATGTGCCACTTTTGTCAGTCATGGAAAAAAAGACTCATAAAGATACCCATTTAAGATGTTTCCTTTTATTTATCATAGAGGCAAAGGTATAACAATTTGACCATAGCTCTTTACAAGAATGAGACAACTTTATTCATTAGAAAAGTACCAGGATCATATTAAGCTATGCAAATATTTGGTAATGTCAACATACTCATATTATCATCATAAACAATCTAGGTTCATAACAATGGCAAACTTGTGAAAGGAAAATTTTTGACCTTGGTACTGATGTCCTAAAGAAGTCAAATTTAGGTGGTGTGTGAGGGATCCGTGAGGCAAAACAAAAAGCGAAGACATGTCAGACATATCCTCCTTATTATGAAAACGGACACGAAGCAAAACTTCTAAGTACAACTGCGAAGAAAACACTCAGGCTTTTAAATGCCCTTCACCTTATGTAAGTTATTCTGGGGGGGGGGGAAGTTCTACCTTCAAAGGCTAGAATGTTCTTAAGAGCGTACTAGGGAAAAAACCCGGGTGAGATGAAATCTGGGGAGAGAAACTGAAAACCGGTGAAACTCCAGTAGCAATCACAAGGCAGAATACAGAGTACGTCAAAAACCACTAGATTGTAGTCTAAAAAACGTTTTGTTTCGATCGTTTTTCCCCAAGGTATTTAATTTGCACGTCTTAAAATAGAGACCCCGAGGAGAGCAGCTTGAGGCAATGGAAAGAAGGGGGGTGGGCTAGGTAAGAACAGAGACTTGCGGAGAAAATATGTGCGGTGCATTAGGATGTACCGTGGAGGGGGATGCAGGAGTCACGGTGAGGGAGCAGTTGAGGGCTTTCTGAGTAGTCAAACTGATGTGGCTTAAGGAATGCGTGCTTGGAGCCAGTACGCACACCTGGTAAAGGGACAACCCCAGAAGACGGTGCAGAGCCGCGATGACCATTTTTAACCAGTTCTATTGTCTGGAGTATTAGATATATCTCCGGCAAGAGATCAAGCCAGGCAGGCACCGAATCAGAGACCCTGCGGGCCCAAAGCAGAGAAAACGGACAGCGGTCCGTTCGCACCGGTCGGGTCCGCGGCACCCCCTCCTCGCCCAGCAGCGAGGGACTCCTGGACGGGCCGCGCTCCGCGTCCGCCAAGTCCGGGAACTGCCGGTCCCCTTCTCCCGCCGGCGACGTTGGTCCCCGCGCGGCCCCGGCCCCGGAGCACCGAGACTTCCCCTCCCACCCCACCCCCAGCCGAAAGCCGGGAAGACGCGGAACTTGGGGCTTGGGAGCCGAGGCCACAGACCAGGTCCCCGGGTGGGAGACTCGGGACGGAAGCCTGTGTGGCTTCCCAGGGACAACCCCCCTCCCCCGACCTGCACCCCGCGGTCCCCGCAGTGCCAGGCCCGCCGTCCCCCTCCCGGGGCGCAACCACGCCACGCTCCCGCCGAACCCCGGTGGTGCCGCACCTCCGTCTTGGTGATCCGGTGCCGCCCCAGCTTCACCACGGCGAAGTTGCCCTTGCCCAGCGTGCCCTCGATGTCGTAGAACCCCACCCGGACCGGCCCGCGCTGCAAGTGCCTCGGGCCATCCGC